CTTATGTATTGCAGAGGCTCCGCAGGAAGCCTTCTTCACTGGGCACGTTGTAGCCCCATTTTAGGTATTCCAATCAGTTATAGGCAGAAGACGGAATTACAAGTTTTCTATGGTGATGCTTTTCACTATTCCTTTCTCTCCCCCTCCAGTGTCTATTCTATAATATAATGCAAGGAAAACCAAGATTCATAGACAGCCAAGCATCTTAAATTAGGGTGTGTTTTAAACCTACTCACTTTTTAAAAAACTTTTTTATTGTGAATTGAGTGAAGGTTTACAGAGAAGATCATCAGTTTTACATTGAAGAAGTCATGTACTTTGTTTCATCTCAATGATTGCAATCCACTTCATGGAACAACAATTGTATTACTTCCTCCCTGTGGGTCCTATTTCCATTCCGCTCTCTTTTCCATTCCTGCTCAGTTTTGTCCTCGGGTAAATGTCCCTTTGATTTAGAATCATTGACCATTCCATGATGAATATACCTTACCAGTGTTGTTGCCCCCGCTGTTTATCTATCTCCTGCTTGGCTGAAAACTGGTCCATGAGGGTGAATTCCATTCCAAATATGGGCAAGACAATGGTCTCGGGTTTCTCTAGTCTCTCTCTAGCCAGTAAACCCGGTCTTTTTTTTTTTTTTTTGAATAATGTTGAATTTTGTTCAATATTTTCTGCTGCTCCATCTGGGACCTTCTGGTATTATCTCTTTCAGAACAGTTGGTGGTGGTAGCCAGACGCCATCTAGTTCTTCTGGTTTCAGAGTCATGGTGACTGATGTTCACGTGCTTGACTGGTCCATTTGACCAGTTGATTCTAAGTATCTTCAATTTTCATCACACTCTTTTGTCTGCACCTGGAGAGACAAATTGTTGCACCTTACATGGCTACTCATGAGTTTTTAAGATCCCAGACACTGGTCACCAAAGTAGGATGTAGAACATTGTCTTTGTGAACTATATTATGCCAGCTGACCATGGTGTCCATTGAGGCTATAGTCTTGAGCCCCCAGGCCCAGGAACTCATTGCCTTAAGATGTTTGATAATATGTAAGAAGTTTTCATCATTTTGACCCCTGTATGCTCCACCACAATCATAGGTGTGTTTGCATCAAAGGTAGATTTGTTGTTGTTGCTAGGTGCCATTGAGTTGGCATTGACTCAGTGATCCTATGCACAACAGAACGAAACACTCTCCGG